GCATCTTTCTCGCTCAAGACACCACCCAAGTGGCTCAAGAGGAGAGCTGGTGTGGCGTTTGGTTTTGGAGGAAAGCTTGTACGATTCGGTGTTCACGATTCAAAATCCAAGATCACCATCTCGACGTTTGCAGTAGACTCCCAGATTGGCGATGCCAGCGAAGAGTTTGACAAGGCCCTCGAGAAGGGTGACCTTACCGCTATTTGCGAGAACAAGATCTCCAAGGCAGCAACTGAAGAGGAGAAGGCCGATTGGACGGTTATCGAGACTTTGACTTCGGAGAACCCCCGAAGCAAGCTTGTTGAGTACCTTGGATTCGCTGAAACCAAAGAGGAGGATGAGCCAGTAGCCGAAAAGAAAGAGGCGGAGACCAACGGTGCCGATGATGGCGCTGACTTCTTTGATCAATCTGGCACAGATGAGGGTAACTTCCTGTCTGATCTTGCCGCATCCAAGGGCGCAAAGACAAACAACCCCTTTCAGGTATACACGGGCGACGAGTCCGATGCCGACAAGAAGATTACTCGTGCTCTCATGCTGGGTAGCTTCGACGCCGCTCTCGACGTATGTCTGAAAGAGAACCGTCTTTCCGATGCTTTCATGATCGCTATCTGCGGTGGAGAGAAGTGCGTTGCCAAGGCTCAGGCTGCGTACTTCAAGAGACAGTCCGACGCGCCCAACTACCTCAGACTGCTCGCTTCGGTAGTAGGCAAGAACCTCTGGGACCTCGTGTACAACGCCGATCTCAAGGACTGGAAGGAAGTTATGGCTACTCTCGCTACTTTTGCCGATCAGTCTGAATTCCCTGACCTCTGCGAGGCGTTGGGTGACCGTTTGGAAGAAGCCATCTCCGAGGAAACTAGTTCCTACCGCAAGGATGCATCCTTCTGCTACTTGGCCGGCTCCAAGCTTGAGAAGGTTGTCGTCAACTGGGCACAGGAGCTCAAGGAGAACGAGGCTGCTGGCTTGGAGAAATCCGAGGAAGACAACAGCTTCTCTATCCATGCGAAGTCGCTGCAAGACTTCATCGAGAAGGTCACAATCTTCCGTAAAGTCACTGGGTTCAAGGACGCAGAGCAGCAGAAGGATGCTGATTGGAAACTTGAGCCGCTGTATGCCAAGTATGTCGAGTACGCTGACATTGCGTCTTCACATGGACAGCTCGCCATTGCAGAGAAGTACTTGGATTTGCTTCCCGAGAAGTACCCTGCCGCCGAGGTCGCAAAGGATCGAGTCAAGCGAGCAACAAGGAAGGCCGCACCTCAGGCAGCTACCCAGCGAGCAGCACAGTCCAACACTGCTACCGCACGCGGTACACGCGTAGTGCCCTCAGCATACACGGCTCAGGCGCAGCAAACGACGCCAAGTCAGCAAACTGCTTCACCATATGCTCCTTCCAACCCTCTGACGACAACACCAGCACCAGTAGCGTCGCCTTACGCACCTATCAATCCACTTGGAGCCCAGGCTCAAGCCCAGACACAGTCTCAGGGTCCAGCCCGAAACCCTTATCTGCCTACTCCCAATGCTTTCGGACAGCAGCAGACAGCCACTCCTCAAGCTGGATCTGGCTACGGTCCTTACGGTCAGTCTCAACAAAGCTCAGTGGCACCTCCCCCGCGTAACTTTGGTGGCATGCCCCCTCCTTCAGTCGTTCCAGCAGCCAACCGAGGCCATATTCCTGCATGGAACGATACCCCCGACTTTGGACCCCCTAAGCCAGCATCGCGTCGTGGAACTCCTCTCAACGCTGTGGGTTCGCCCTTCCCCAACCAGCCATCAGGCTTCGGCGCGCCACCTCAAGGTCCGCCGCAAGGACGCCCAACACCTCCACCTCCACCCAAGGGTCCACCCCAGGGGCCTCCTCGGATGATGTCACCCCCTCAGTCGAGTGCTTCTCCAGCTGCACCTAACCCTTACGCCCCTTCGCAACCAACTGGCTTCGCTCCTCCTCAACCGCCGCCAGTACAGCGTGGAGCTTCACCTTATGCTCCTCCCACATCGGCAGCGCCATCATCGAACCGCTATGCTCCAGCACCTGGCTCGCAGCCATCCCCCGCCCCAGCATATGGAGGTATGCCACCACCGCGAAACATTGCGCCCCCTCCTGGCCAATTCACCCCTGGACCTTCGCCATATGCTCCTTCGCCAGTCCAACAAGCGCCTCCAGCAGCAACACCACCGCCACCCCGGGGTCCGCCTCAAGGACCGCCACGCGCTGGTCCTCCAGCGGGTGGACCACCTCAGAGCGGGCCATCAAGGCCGGATAGTCAATCGAGCGCCGCACCGCCACCGGCTGCAGCCCCAGCTGCAGCCCAGCACCGTATGTTACCATAAAGGCCACATCACTTACACATACTAATTACGTACAGCCCGTGGCGATCGATCCCACATTCCTGAGAGCTCCCGCCCAATATACGAGATTTTGAACGCAGATATGCAGCGTGTCAAGTCCAGGGCACCAGCGCAATACAAGCAACACGTGAACGACACTGAGAAGCGCCTGAACATTCTGTTTGACCACCTTAACAATGACAGCGTCAAGCCCGATACTGTCCAGCAGCTTAACGAGCTGGCAAACAACATCCAAGCTCGCCAGTATGATCAAGCTGGCGTGATCTTCTCGGACATTATGACAAACAAGACAGATGAGGGCAGTGACTGGATTGTGAGTGTACCCTTCCGTGCAATACGTTGAGTTTGTACTAACAGTGCAACAGGTCGGTATCAAGAGGCTCCTCCAGTTCAGCAAGTCGACTCAGTAGATGATGTTACGAGTAGGCAGTAGAGGTAGAAATGAATCACGGCCTGACACGTGACGAGTTTGGCATATTAGCGTAGTGTACGACTTGAAGAAATCATAGTCACTTGATGACATCCCCTATAAACCAACCTCAGCACTTCTTGAGAACCGTACTTGAAGAATAATTCGCTAGTATTATCTACTGGACTGTGTATCCTCTTATCAGTTGTGGGCTGACGACGTTCAGACTAGCAGAGAAAAAACGTGAATCAAAGGGCCTTTGAGCCTGTGGTGGTGACTATTTTCCAAGGACACTGTAGGGTCGACCACGATGACAAAGCGGGTTCAATTTAGGACATGTTGGTCAACATGGACGTGAAAGCTTTGTGCGTGGTATGGTTTCCGTCTTCAAGAACATGGATTTTTCGAGTATTGGCACGTATATACACTTGCTAAGATACTAGGCTTCGAATCACTGCATGATCATTATATCCTCCTTGCTACATCGCCATTCCTCGTCCAAGCCAAGCAATCTCGTGACTTCATCTTCCAATCGTCCATAATGATCTCCGTACCCCTTGTAGTGCGTGGCCATCGCAACACCCTTGTGGCCGTAGTCTGCGAGTCTCTGTGCCATGTCATGTTAGATATCGACCATCATGAAGCAGAGACAAATGCACTTACTAGCGCCCCATAGATCGAAGTTCTTCGTGTATACGAACTCAGTCTTCCCATATCCACGAAACGCCATCTGCACATCCCAGAAATTCAGGGGATGCGTCAGGGTACCGTTGAGGAACATGTTTCCGTAGCGATAGTACACGTCCACGCTCTTGAGTGCAGATTCGTTTCCGTTGCGATTATCCAATAGTTCCAAAAACACCTCGTCACAACTGATTTCGAGAATACCATCGAATCTTATCCTCGACTTCTCTAGCGTCTGAGGCACAACGTCTCGCAAGTTCGTAAAGCCTTGCCACTCATCATGAATCTCATAACCACCATCTGGACTCGCCCTCCCTCTCGGTAAGCCCACAAGATTCTCAAACGTCGTGTCCATGGTCTTCAGCCGCGGAAAGCATTGAAACCCTCCAAAGCGTGAGCACGACTCATCCCCATCTGTCTGTATTGGGAATAGGATATTTGTATCCAATCTCACATGTTCTAAACCAACCTGATGCTTCTCGAGAGAACGCAGTATATCGACACACCAGCGCCGAGACTCGGAGGATATCACTTCAGGGGTTTCGACGCTGGTGGCTTCGAATGTGTGCAGCGATTTGCAGGACTGGATCATCCAAAGGAGGTTGGAGATGGAGACGTGTACGTTTTCTAGCTTTAGTGTGGTGATGGGGGAGGAGGGAGCGGAAGGCCAGGGCCAGGGGTCGGGATTAGGGTAATTGTTCAGATTTTCCCATCCTCTGCCGTGACGGAGCCAGCGCAGGAACGAGTGGTCGAGTAGGTTCCGCATGTGCAGTGTCTGGAGCAGGGGTAGAGAGAAGAGGTGTGTGATCGAGGCGGTACACGAGTTTCGTAGATTCAGGGTGAGAGTGTGGAGAGTTTGGTACGGGAGATGGGCAGCAGGAAGGCTTGGAGTGGGTGTGTAGGATAGCCTTGCTTCAGTCAAAGGGCGAAGCCAAAGAAGCGGAACAGTAGGATCATCGAAGCACTGTGCTGGACTTTCTGTATCCTCGGCCATTTCCAGACCCTCTAATCCAGTCCCCTGCAAGACTAAAATCGCAAGTTCGAGCTCATTGCGCAAACCAAGGTCGCGCAATTTTTCTTTCCATTCTGTGCGGTATGGCTCCGGCAGCTGGGTGACATGGAGTCTGACTTCGCGTCGAGTTCATTCTCGGTATCGATCTGCAGGACTGCCATAGGTAGGTTCGTATATACAAGTGAAAACATGGTGGAGAATCTCGTATGGCAGGAGGGCTAGGCCTGGCATTGGCGAAGAAGTATACTTTTTTAAGATTTATGTGAGGCTGTTGGGTCGAGCGAGGTGTAGCGGTGCGTGATCGACAAAGTGTTAGTTAGGCAACTGCAATTCTTGGTTCCGAGAGGTGTATTAACAGTATTGGAGATGGAAAAGATAACTTTGCCACAGCGTCGGCTTCACTACCTGTTGTGAATAAAAACCATGGTAATGGCTGACCGACAGCCGTGTTACAGAGAAGGCTTCCGACGTAGACAGGTACGTAAATTTTATTTGAAATTATATTGCAACTATCACTGAACATTTCCATCAACGAGTAACGGTTCGATGGTGTAGTTGGTTATCACGTCAGTCTAACAATCTCCTTTGTTGGGTTCACTGAAGGTCTCCAGTTCAAGTCTGGGTCGAATCATTTTTTGCTTTTCCGGCATCACCGAAGACAGTGCGAAGTATCGCAGCCTATCTTGTCTTTTGCACCGATTGCGATCATTTATTTATTGTGGTTTTGACTGTACGTTTCTCAAGGCTGATATCGATCAAGGGAGCTAGAACTAAGTTTTTGGACATTATGAAATCAGCTCAAGTTCTTGATGCGATTATTTCACTCTTGAACTACTGCAGTGAGAAAAAAAGATAAAGGTTCCCATAACGCCCCTGGTCACTGCCGACCACCCGTCCATTGTGGTATACCCGCCGTTGAAATGCCAGAACGCCCATTGATGCCGTCCGCCCAGATATTGTACACGCTGGAGTCCCTCGAACCTTGCTAATCCATCGCAGGCTCCACACTAGCACTCGCTCTCTCCTTGCTCCCCAGACTGAGCTTGATTTTCTTCTTTCGTGGCTCATCGTCTCCGTCTTCCCGGTCTCTTTCCCTCTTCCCTTCGCTTCGTTCGCTTGTTTCGCTGGCCTTGCGCTCAACCTCTGGCCGACCAGTTTTGAGTTTGACCTTGAGACTGCCAGAGCTTCCACCTTTCTCGCGATCTGCCTTTTTGATGTAGGAGCTTTTCTTTTTCTTCTTACGCTCGGGTGTATCATCGCCAAGCTCGTCCGCGTCGTCGTCGCCTTGCGCAAGTTTCTTCACGGGACTGATGCCTTTACCCTTGACTTTAGACCCTACAGAATCGCCCTGTGAGCCCGGATTGGGCGTGCCCATGCGACTGCCGAGCGGTGTGTTGCCGAGGCCTGAGCCTGTGCCGTTCTGACCTGCGAGTTTGGCCATGGCATTACGAGAGGATTGACGACCGCTGATGCCGAGACATTTCTCGAGATGCTGGGCGAAGCGTGTAATGAGGAGTGAACGCTTGCAGTTCGGACAGGTGTGCCAGGGAATGTAAGAAGCTGGTTTGCCGCCGGTGTTGAGTTTGATCTCTTTTGTGTCTCCACCAGCCATCTCCGTGTCTTGTGACCCTGGGGTGCCTACGCTTTCTTTGTCGGCGTTCTTTTGCTGCTGCTTGATGAGCTCTCGCTCCTTCTTGCTTTTTGCCATATCGGTAGGGAATGGATTGCCGTAGACGTCATGGCCTGATCGCTGAACCCAAGGGTACAGCATGCAGTATTCCTTGGTGAGGTCTGGATGCTGCATGCCCTTGCCCATGATAGGGTGCATGAGGCGCGGCAGCTTGCAGTGCGGACATGTAATCTCCGGGGTTGTCTTGAGAGGATTGCCCTTGAGCAGCACCCGACCGTTCTCGTACTTGGCAGCAGATGTTTCGGCGGCGGGTATCGCGGGCTGGGTGGTGGCACCGGCCTTCTGCGAGGCGGGCTCGAGGGTTGCGAGGGCGATGGACTCAGCCTGGGTCGCGGCAGACTGCATACGGAGGAGCTTCTCGGAGCGGTGGCATGACAGCGCCGTCTGGAGGACAATATTTGACAGTGTGTCCTCGAGGATGTCTGTGATCTGCGGTGCGCATGTGCTTAGCAATGAGCTCTCAGAGCTTGGGCAACACTCAGCCTACCAGGTCTGCTAGCGTGTCTGGGGGCAGGCCCGACGCAGACTCTTCGACTGCGTCCTCAGACATGCTGCTGGGTCGCGATGGCGATGTTGGCAGTGCAGCAGGCAGTCCAAGGTGTTGCAGACTACGTCGACGGCAATGGTGGAACACATCGGGCGCGGGAGTCCCCTGTTCGGGGCCGTTAGCGTATCATCCCTGCAAGTGCCTGAATTGCATCCCCACACGTCCACACGCCTGGTATTTCCTTACTCGTCTGGACAGTGTGTTCGCGGTGGAGCTGCACAAACATGGGCAATAAAGGTCCAGCTACACCAACTGTCTACAAGTCTTCTTGATGTCTTGTTTAATCACAAAAGAATACTCTGTGTGGTCAAAACCTTCTCTCTCGGCGCCCATGCAGTCACATCTATTCCTGATACTATGCACATAACCTGACAAGCTCCAACAACAGCTCTGGTATCTGTCCGTTTCATAGTAAACGTAGTAATCCGCCGAGAAAGCCCGGGTCCGGGCTGCAAACAAAACGCAGACAAGCAACAACCTCTAGGTTGTGATCAACTCCTAGATGGCCTAAGTCTGCAAGCAAGACCCCCGGCATACTGCAACTCACACCATTTGTGCAGTTAATGGGATGGGATCCATGGTTGCCCTTTGACTTCAACGCTGCGCACTTGTTCTTCTACGCGTGCAATGGTTGAAAACTTCTGCGGTCTCATGCGTATGAACGACTGTGTGTAGCGCCTTCAGACCATGTCGTATCGAAGTGAATCGGTTTTAACTACATTGCGGATCCAGTCCAATGGGTGCCTAATCTCATATTGTCGAACAGGCAGTGAGAAGTTGAAATATTGAGGCTTTGATTCACCCCGAGCTAGGACTCTGCTCTGTGGCCGTGTATACTGCAGGTGTAGTCGACTCAACACCTTCCATGTCGCTTGTTGCGGTGCCCATAGCGGCGAGTCGTTCGCGTTTCTTTGGTTGCCTCTTTGCGCCTACGGGAAGTCTCTTCTTACTGCCACAACGATTGCAACTGATAACCAACACATCTGCCCACGGCTTCTTGCCGCCTTTGCTTTCGTTCTCAATTCTCTGTACCGCAGTGCGTCCAGGCACAAGTACTGCATTACAGCTTTTGCACATGGAGCGTTTAAGCTCAACAGATAGACGGAGCTGTGCTTTCCGGGAAACAGTGTGGAGATCAGAGCCAAGCTGCAGGGCAAGAGACGATGATTGTTGTGCACGACCTGTCCCTGTTTGAGCCGCCTCGTTGACTTCACTTTCGGTAGGAGTATGAAGGGTCAAGTAAGAGGCAGCCTGGTAAAGGAAAGTAGTCCGGGCGTGTAAGTGTTTGTTTGGGATACCCTTGGGCTTCGCGGGTTTGTCTTTGGCCATGTCGCGGTACTTGGTGAGCAGGTAGGTCTGAAGTCGTGCAACGCGTCGATCGACCAATCTTGCAGGTCAGAAGGTACGATTTTTCAGGCGACGTTGATGAGCACTGGGCGCAGTTGTATGCAATAGCGTCTCGTGGCACTGTTTAGTGCACCAGGATAAGACTCAGATGTTTGCACTCTGTCTTCTGAGATACGCAAATATTGTTGTGAATGTACCTTCAAGACATCGTTCATGATTCACGCCTGTGCACAGACAGCTGTTCTTTTTCTGGCTAGCGCGTTTGCGCCGCCGAGCTTTTGGTCCCACCGCTGCGTCTCGCTCTTTCCCATACACCACCTGCGACAGCATCCCATCCCCACCGTTGCGTCACCCCGTGCATCAGCGAATCTCCCGCTGGTTCTCTTCTTTTCATAACGACCGTTCTCCGAAGCTTTCTCCACAGCACCGCTCCCACTTCATTGTTCGGCAGCCTCGTTTGCGACACGCGCAACCAGCAACCCCAACCTCACCTTACTCTTACTACTATCCACATCTAATCATGTCCCACGAGGAGGACCTCATCGACTACTCCGACGAGGAGATCCAGCCAACGGAGGCGCCCGCCAACGGCAACGCAGCCGCGGCCAAGGGTGGTCTCGCTGCTGGCGACGCTGCTGGCGACAAGAAGGGCAGCTATGTCGGCATTCACTCGACCGGTTTCCGCGACTTCCTGCTCAAGGACGAGCTCGTGCGAGCAATCACGGACTGTGGCTTCGAACATCCTTCCGAGGGTTAGTCTAATATTCCCCTCAGCCTTCTTCCACCTGAAAGCGTCCGTCCACTTGCGCAACGAAGCGGTATCATCTCTGCGGCCATGGTTTTGTCTTCACACGAGCGAAGTAGCGAGGGACCCAGCCTCCTTCCACTACATACGAGCTCCCAGCCGACTGCTGTGTTTGGGCGCGATTAGATCGGTCCTGTACACGAAGAAGCCTAGAGGCTCTTTGCCCAGTATATCGTCTTGGAACGAGAGAACTGGCCATGGCAGACATGTGACCCAAGAGGGCTCGAAAGAGATGGCGCATAGCTTGCGTGGACTTTGTGTAGCCAGGCTATCTCGTGTGGATGACTTCGACCGCGCATGGACGGACGCTTCCCTTTGCACAATTCGTTGCGACTGCTTTAAGAACCCGTTCTGACATGCCTTCGTGCTTTACAGTCCAGCAAGTTACCATTCCTCAGGCCATTCTCGGTAACGATGTTCTCTGCCAGGCCAAGTCCGGTCTTGGAAAGACAGCCGTCTTTGTCCTCGCTACCCTCCAACAGATGGATGAGAAGCCCGAGCCCGGTGTCGCCACGATCTTGGTCATGTGCCATACCCGTGAGTTGGCCTACCAGATTAGGAACGAGTACAACCGTTTCGCCAAGTTCCTGCCCGATGTTAAGGTTGGTGTCTTCTACGGAGGAACACCCGTCCAGCAGGACATCGAGCTTCTCAGCAACAAGGAGACGCACCCTCACATCATCGTTGGTACACCCGGTCGTATCAACGCCCTTGTCCGTGATAGGCACCTTCGTCTTTCCAACCTCAAGCACTTCGTTCTTGACGAGTGTGACAAGATGCTGGACCAGCCTGGTTAGTACTCTGCATCAATATCGGCCTAGCCTGTCTAACACACATACAGATATGCGTAATGATGTGCAGTCGATCTTCCGCGCAACACCTGCTCACAAGCAGGTGATGATGTTCTCAGCCACATTGGCGAAGGAGATCCGTGACACCTGCAAGAAGTTCATGCAGAACCCTCTCGAGATCTACGTCGACGACGAGAAGAAATTGACTCTTCACGGTCTGCAACAGTACTACATGAAGCTCGACGAGCGCGAGAAGAACAGGAAGCTTAACGACCTCCTTGATGAATTGGAGTTCAACCAGGTTATCATCTTCGTCCGCTCGACTCTGCGATGCACAGAGCTCGACAAGCTTTTGCGCGAGTGCAACTTCCCCAGTACTGCCGTCCACTCTGGAATTGAGCAGAAGGAACGGTATGTGTTTATAACTCCGTTGAATAAGATCACCAAACTA